ACGTATCCTCCGGTGATGATATCAAGGGACGACTGACTGGGGTCGTCTGGTCCCGGTAGAACTACTGTCCTACTCAAGCTGCCAGAACCTAGCCGGCGTAAGGGAGGAAACACAAACACATTTGGTCACGAGGCTTGTGGGGAAGACCGTGTTGGGCAGGGGGAGGATGCGGGTAAATGCAGGGACACGGAAAGGATAAAGGGAGGAGGAAGGAAGGAAGTGATAATGATTGGAACCTTTTGTAAGTAAGAGATTTTTGGGTTAGTAAGCACTTAGTCTTTAAAAGTAGAGCAAGTATAAGTGGACAGACAAAGTATACAAAATACTCTTATAGGAGAAAAGGACAAAGAATTACCGTGAACACTGTCAGTGTCACAAGCTTACAGACAATAAAAAAACAGACAGATTTACAGGACTTGGATTAAACGGCAAATACATCTTCGGGGACGTGATGAATGAGACTATCAAAATGGTAGTGGTGGAGGCAGCACACGCCACGCGCCACAGACCCAAAGACACTGAAATAGGAATCTAGCCGAGGGTATATAAACATTAAGGAATCACTGAAGCACAATTTATGGCTTGCGCACTAAAACAAAAACTGAAAACCAATTAGTACATAGTTAAGAAATAAGGATGCGTGTTGTGCTGCTTCTGTCTACATAACTGCGTGAGGGTGATTGAGTGCATTCCCCATGTGGTATGAACGTGGCTTAAACGCAACCTCTTGCTTTCCCCGGCATCCTCCGCCGCAGAGAGAGACAAGAAGGGCACATCGCATTGTGTAAATGAAACATGAATGGCGGTAGTTACCATTTAGTGTTTGGTACGAGGTTAGTGCAAACGTCGGGGGAGAAGCCACATGGAGAATAATCTGATAAAGATGGGAGCAATGGCAGTGAATGGGTGAGCGCAGACTGAGAGACTGGCGGCAGGAACCGCACCGTACTTACCTCTCTCGCACACGTATCCTGCAATGGTGATGCCCAGACCCTGGTGGTCCTTCGTCACCTCCACGTCGATGGTCTCCATCTCCGGCAGTGCTCCTTCGACCAGTGCCAGGTCGTCCTCGGTGTAGGTGTGGATGGCAGACTCGCCCTCAAGGGCTCCTGCCTGGGCCGGCTGCTGCTGGAGCTGCGCCTCGGCCACCGGGCCCGGCGGCGACAGGGACGAGGCCGATGACCCGCCCTCGCCTTCAACCTGTGGACAAAGGCACGACAAAAGCATTAATTTAGTCGAAATACACAAATGGATTTAAACTTTTAACATACGCAGAAAGTAAGTGACTTATTGTGTTTTATTGCGACATAATTGCTGTAACAGCATTAGCGACGCAGTAACGGCAGCAATATGTAAGTTAGTTTGAGTGTAGGCCCTGCCTCCGATGCACAAGCATAGGCTCTCTCGTCATCGTATCGCAAATGACTGAAAACTGGAAAAAAACCAGTTGCAGTCTGTAATCACATGAACACCCATTCTGGCCCAAGCATGCCCTATGTACACGACGGAGTATTAACTAAGATCCGATTCTTGTCTCCTTCCCGCCGGGCACTGAGAATCTCATCGATTTTAGCCGCGATATAATAAAAAAACGAGTAATACCCCGAAGACCCAGGCAACACTCGCGTCGAGTGTCCGTCAATATGCAAAACGGAAGAGCAAACTCGCTTCATATTTCAGCGACCACGACAGCCAGGGTTGGAGATAAAAGCCAAGAAGCCGATATAGAATACCGGGAAAGTTCTTGGGCAACGGCCAGACACTAAAGAAAACCGGGCGACAAATACCTGCTCTGGAATCATTAACATCGACTAATACATAAATTGCTCCTGGTTCCCCTCGCCTTTCCTCCTCATCCACGGGGACCGGCCTCATGCGGTGCTTAATAATTCGAGAAAGTATCCGGGTTCTGCCTGGCACGAGCACTTCACTCATTGGTCTTGCCTCATAAACCGGCGGGGTCGATTTTGATGAAGAGTTCAAAGAAAAACTTTCCTTACAGATATTTTGGACCGAGAAGAATACTTACCTGCATTACAGGGAGCGGCGTAAAAATCTACGGATTTGTGCAGCCACATTTAACATACTGACCAAGAAACGTTTGCTTACTACCTACTGCTCGCATTAACTATATAGGCTTTTTTGATAGGAAAATATATTTTGAAGCCTCGGTATCGCTCGCCTACTAGTCACCAAAAGCCATTATTGATAGCCGTCAGTTTCCACCCCCAACCCAGGGCCCCCCACCTCCATTCAATGCAGGAAGCTATCGTCTATCCTCGATATTTGGGAGATTCCGCCCGAATCCGTGATTTCGAAAATTACATCCCGCGGCTGATACTCTCGACTTCTTTCGCCCGTCAATCTTCCCAAACTGTTTCAACTGCCGACGCAAGCTGACTCCGCGCGCCCTGTTCCCCTTCACCCTTGCTCCCCGGCGGCATCTCACATGGGAACACTTCCCTTCCTCAATCATCCTCGATCGTCCGGCTTGCACTGGACTCCTTGCATTCCCTGTGTACTCATCCTCTACAAAGACTAGTATCATCTCCCTTTCCCACCTTGCTCTCTTCCTTGAACCTGGTGAGAGAGAGAGAGAGAGAGAGAGAGAGAGAGAGAGAGAGAGAGAGAGAGAGAGAGAGAGAGAGAGAGAGAGAGAGAGTGAGAGAGAGAATTGGGGGTACAAGAGTGTGTGTGTGTGTGTGTAAGTGAGAGCGCGCGTGTGCGTGCCCCCATCTGTGGACTGTATATATACACATGTCATATGCATGTGTGCGTGCGTGAATTGTCTTCCGTGTATGATACCATAAATCTATAACTGCACGATTGCTAAAGTAGGTACATCGTGCGTAATCACCAGAGTAAAGGTCGTGTGTAGTTGTTAATCTCATCACACGCATCGGCTGCAGGGTGTAAAGGTACAGCCATCGGACTCGAACCCACTCACCCGCTCGCTCGCTCTCGACCAACTTCAACATGAACAAACATAGAGGTGTTCCTAACTTCCCTTTCAAAAACTCGCAATAGTAATCAATGGTATCTACAGTTACATTCATGATCAGTGCATTAGTTAAAGTTGTGTACCGTTGCAAGCATTGCGTTACAAGCACGATGATGGCTTATTCCATTAATACCAGCAGTAGTGGCATAACTACACATGGCTGATTTCACAAGCTGAATTGTCAGGCAGGAAGCTCGAGGGGAAAGATGGGTGCTCAAAGATGGGGAAGCTACATGTTTAGGTCTATGTATGTATATATATATAAATATATGTGTGTGTGTGTGTGTGTGTGTGTGTGTGTGTGTGTGTGTGTGTGTGTGTGTGTGTGTGTGTGTGTGTGTGTGTGTGTGTGTGTGTGCGTGTGTGCGTGTGTGTGTGTGTGTGTGAGAGAGAGAGAGAGAGAGAGAGAGGAGAGAGAGAGAGAGAGAGAGAGAGAGAGAGAGAGAGAGAGAGAGAGAGAGAGAGAGAGAGAGAGAGGGGGGGGAGGGGGGGGAGGGAGAGAGAGGGGAGAGGGAGAGAGGGGAGGAGAGAGGGGAGAGAGGGAGAGAGGGAGAGTGAGAGAGGAAGAGGGAGGAAAAAAAGGAAAAGGAAAGGAAAAGGAACAGGAAAAGGAAAACGGAAAGAGAGGAAGAGGAAGGAAATGGGGAATGGGATAAGAAATGAAAAGATAAAAAAAAAGTGAAAAGAGGGAAAAAAAAACGGCGAGAAAAATGGGGGGAAAAGCAAAAGAGAAATAAATACCTGGACTTGCTGGTAGTGCAGGTGCGCCTCGGTGGTGACGGTGCTGACCTCGCCCACCCCGCCGCCCACCAGGCTCTCCTGCAACACAAGTTCTCCTTCAGATTACACGAGAAATGCCGATGCACACGCGCACACACACACATGCACACAGAAGAGCGCTGGCCTGGCATGTTCCAGGTCGTAATGAAAATATCCAATTAAGCCAAATACCTCAAGAGCAACGACATTAAAACCGCTCGCTGGCAAATAGGCCCGGGGAACAGCGCCGAGCGAACTAGCGAACGTAGCGAGAACTACTTCCACGAGGTAAAGCGACATCCGTGTAACCAATTTACTCCGCGTTAGGGATCTAACATTGGGCTAACCTGGTTATCCTTATAAGGCGTCACTCTGAGGACCTCGCTAACCCTGACAGCAGGATGCCGGCCTGGCTCCCTCTCTCTCGCTCCTCGACGAGCCAGCTGATCGCATTGGCTCGGAGCGCTGCTCTGTCCACCCATTTCCTCTCAATATACCATTCGCTCTCTATCATTCCCTCTACCTTTGCTTTCCATTTCCCTGTATCCCTTTCCTTCTTCCTCTTCCCTCTTCTCTTTCCCTTTCTCTCATTCCTCATCTCCTTTCCCTTCTTGCCTCCATCACCGGGAACTTTCTTACTCTATTTTATCATCAAAACTCCCCACGTGATTTTTCCGCAGCGGTGAAAACCGTCAAGCAAAAACATCCGCACGCAACAAGAGGAAACCACGCCGTACTGTTAGACTCAGATTACATAATCCGGCTGCAGCAGCGGAATAAATCCACCCCGTCGACAAATTACAAAGTAATCGTGTGTGGGAAATCCGCTTCATACAGCCGCACTTGCTCTTAATATTCTATAGATATTCTCCCCTTGCGTTTCGCCGCGTTTCCAGATAACAAGATGAAACCAATCTTTTCCTCCCCCCCCCCCCCCGAGAATCAACGAACTATTTTTCCTTTCTTTCCTCATTTTTTCTCTGATTTGGAAATTAAGTTATTATACTTTTCCCTCCGTCGGGAAACACAGCATCAAAGCAACATCTCGTTTCAAATTAATCAGAGAATCGCAAGAGAAATTTAATTCGATATTCAATTTCCTTGCCAAAGGCTCTCACAGCGTCATCAAAACAATCTTCAAGGAAAGTAAAAAACAAGTAATAATACCACATAGCACAAACAAGTTTTCCTTTTCCAGACAATTTTGTATATAAGCTCAAACACTAGCATTAAAACAAGGTTTCAAAGCCAAAATGCTGAGAGGGGATAAAACGTTTATTGCCACAACACAGAACAAATGTCAGGAATTATAACACCTCGACGATAAAGTGAAAGTGAGTAGTTTGCAGATGACAAATCTGATTCTTATTAATTTTCCATTATAACAAGACAGAGAACTCACAGAAAACATAATAATGTCTATACATAGTTCATTCATATTCTTTTTGGCTCTGCCTTCTTAAATAAATCCTAGTTCATTATTCAAAGTCCACTGGGGTTACGTTTAAGTAATTTTCCTTATCACAAACAAATGCATTTGAACGAAACCTAACTTCACCCAAACCTAAAAAGACCCACTGCACCCCGCAGCCGTGCCAACAATTTCCAATTATCCACAAACGCTATTTCTCTCCCTCTGCCACGCTCTCAGCCGCAGAATGGCAGGCACAAGTCCCCAAGTACACGCGTGCTGTCAGTCTTTGGCCAGGTATTGGCCAGCTGATTGCCGTCATTGGCCGTCGCAGCCGTACCTGGCGGGACTTTGTTAGAGCACTATCACTGCATGTCCGCTGTACCAACACTCAACCGAATATATCCAACTGACTTCTCCAGTCTCGGCAGGAATCCAATTTGTCCGTTACATAATCCGGGTAAGTGAATCTACATCCAGATGAACTTGTCCTGCCGGCTACATCTTCCTGTCGATGGCGGGGCCCCTAAACCAACTTGATTACGGACCCCATAACAGTTTGGGTAAATTTGACATTTTGGTATTCTCGCTTGTGTTTTTTGTGATAACATGCGCTAACTACGTATCGCGTCCTCCCTCCTCTTCTCTTTTCCTTTGCAATCACCGTTCCTCATTTCCTCCCTCTCTCTCCTCCTTCCTCCCTCTCTCTCCTTATTTATCTTTTTCTCTCGACTTCTTCTCTCCATCCACTCTCTCTCTCTCTCTCTCTCTCTCTCTCTCTCTCTCTCTCTCTCTCTCTCTCTCTCTCTCTCTCTCTCTCTCTCTCTCTCACTCATTTTCTCTCTCACTCATTTTCTCTCTCACTCATTTTCTCTCTCACTCATTTTCTCTCTCACTCATTTTCTCTCTCACTCATTTTCTCTCTCACTCATTTTCTCTCTCACTCATTTTCTCTCTCACTCATTCTCTCTCTCACTCATTCTCTCTCTCACTCATTCTCTCTCTCACTCATTCTCTCTCTCACTCATTCTCTCTCTCACTCATTCTCTCTCTCACTCATTCTCTCTCTCACTCATTCTCTCTCTCACTCATTCTCTCTCTCACTCATTCTCTCTCTCACTCATTCTCTCTCTCACTCATTCTCTCTCTCACTCATTCTCTCTCTCACTCATTCTCTCTCTCACTCATTCTCTCTCTCACTCATTCTCTCTCGCTTTCTCCCTTTATTTTCCTTTATCTTCGTTTCCTCCCCCTCCTTACATCCCTTCTCCATTCCCCTTACCCATTCTTAACACTCAGCGTTCGCATGCTCCAATTACACCCTAATAAAACACAGTTACCGCTCTCATACCGCGGGAACAAGTATTTACACTTTGCCCGGTTGTGCCACCTGGTTGATCTGCTGCCAGAAAACACGGATTTAATTAACAGTCCTTCAACACGCGAAATCAGGATGCAATGAAAGACTCACTGCTCCCCTCTTCTCGATCCTCACAGTGCCCCACCACCGCCCCCCCCCTCTTTTCGCTACCCTCCTCCTAAGTTCCCCTTTTTTTCCCCCATTTTTCCCCCATCGCTGTATTACCGTTACCCTCTACCCCACCCCCCACTCCCTCCCCCTTCCTCTCATCCCCTACGCTCCCCAACCCTACAATTCTTATCGTCACCACCGCTATAATCTCAAAAAGGATTTCCCTTGTGCTTAGAAAGTTTCTCTTCGCTTTCATTTTTAATGCTTGTGACCCGCCGCTGTCTGATCTTACAGCCTCCTACGCCACAAGCGGATCGCGTCATTAGTCGTAACCTTGATATTTCTTCTCCCCTTCCCTCCCTGTTCTTGAGCCAGATGGGTGTAAAAGGAGATAGGGAAAGAGAAGAAGAATAGGTGAAATAAGGAGGAAGGAGGAGGGAGCAGGGAAAGAGGGAAGAGGGTGAGGAGAGGAGAGGAGAGGAGAGGAGAGGAGAGGAGAGGAGAGGAGAGGAAGGAAGAGAGATTGGGAAGGAGGGAGAGAGATTGGGAGGGAGGGAGAGAGATAGGGATGGAGGGAGGGAGGGAGGGAGAGAGGGAGGGAGGGAGAGAGATAGGGAGGGAGGGAGGGAGGGAGGGAGGGAGAGAGATAGGGAGGGAGGGAGGGAGGGAGGGAGGGAGGGAGGGAGGGAGGGAGGCAGGGAGATAGGGAGGGAGATAGGGAGGGAGGGAGAGGGAGAGGGAGAGGGAGAGGGAGAGGGAGAGGGAGAGGGAGAGAGAGAGAGAGAGAGAGAGAGAGAGAGAGAGAGAGAGAGAGAGAGAGAGAGAGAGAGAGAGAGAGAGAGAGAGAGAGAATCTGTAGACAGAATATAGATTTTTTTTGACGAGAGCCAAAACAGCCAGAGAGAGTGCTTTTATCCCCACATCACTGCTCTGCCAACACTCCAACCATCCAGCCGACACTTGAATTACCGCTCCCTCACCTCCCCTTCCCCCGATCCTGTCAACGCGCAAAATTCCCGCCGGATCCTCTTCTTTTGAGTTCCTTCGCTCTGACCTCCAATCCTCCCTCTCCCTCTCCCCCACCCCTTCCCCCCCCAACCTGTCGGTCCAACTCCCTCTCCCTCCCCAATCTCCCCTCGCCGTCAACCTCACTCCCCTCCCCATGCCTCTCCCCACTTTCCTTCTCCTCGGTAATTCGCTTATCACCTCTGGCTCCCCCTCCTTGTACCAGCGAAACGTCTTTCACTCTAGCCTCAATCAGCGCACATTTTCCTCCCCGTCCTCAATCCCGCCAAATCTCCGTCGCCGTCGCGTAATCCCCAGCACACTAGCACAGTAAACCCCCTCAGTGTTGTGCCTGAAATCCTCAACTCAATCCCGACCGGGGGGGGGGAAGAAGAAAGGTAGGGGGGGAGGACTGGTAAGGAGTGAATACGAAAGAGGGATAGATGAGGGAGAGGGGGAGGGGGACGAGAGGAGAGGACAGGAGGGGAGAGGAGAGAGAGAGAAATATTGTTGAAGAGGTAGGGAGATCGAGAAGAGAGAGGCAGAATGAGGAATGACGAAAGGTTAGGAGAGAGTCCGTGAGACGGAGTGCCTGGCGAGCTAAGGTCAGCCGACCTGGCCATCACGTTATTAACAGATCTCTCCATTATCCACCAGTAATATGTCTGGGACGAGCAAAGGCAAACAGACAACAGTCAACACAGGTCGGCCGATAACGAGGGAACCCAAGACGCACCTCCTTCCGGCTAGAGGAAATATCAAGACCCGATAACCGCCCTAGAGATTATGCCTATTAATCACCTCCAGACGAGACAAATTCGATTACAAGCGTTTGCCTCCCAATAACCGCACAGAAAGCCCTTGCACATTCCGAGAGAATATACACGCCAAAAAAACAAAGAACACGGCATTCTAACACGCACCACCACTCCACTGCTGTTCATCCCTGGCGTTGCTGCAGGGTGTGAGAAATGACGACACTCGCCCTTTATAAATGTACGCTGACGGCTGCACTGACACATGTCCCAGCCGCTTCTGCACTGTCGCATCAAACGCAAATTAATGCGACCGCTGCGAGAGTGCATTGTTAGATACACGGACGGACAGCCACAGTAGCGAAATATTTGGGAGAGCAAGCAAGTGATAGCGACGCATAAATATTCAAATCTAACT